GCTGCTGTAGTTTCTCCTACACACTTTACAGCCTGTTCTCATTCCCAAGTTACTCAGCTGTGTTCAGGTAGTTATAATCTGCAACTTCACTGCTAAAAGCCACTAAATCCTAAAAACTGGTTCTTTAAAATAATAAATATTTAATGTCCAATGTAATTCACGACACTTGAGTTATTGTTGGTTGCTTGTAAAGATTTTAAATACATATTTCATACACACAACACAGTATTTCTATACAAGAGCACTGTTACACTTTATTACAGTCTAATTCTTCAACATGGGTCTCCTCACTTCACCACATTGACCTGAGCACTTGTACACAGTGTACGTGCTGTCTGTAATGGTGTCGGAGAACGCCACATTACCAGTACATCAGCTCCCCGCTCAGATCACTGGGTGAAATCTCCAAAACGTAACCGTGTAACCAAATACAGGGATGGTTTCTGAGTTTGTTCCTTTGGAGGATTTGTGCGTAAGTAAGCATAAGAGTTCATTCATAAACATTTAACCTCCATCTGCAGAGATCAGTCCCAGTTTCTGTTCTGTACAACACTTATTCCTTTATCAAGTCCAGTGACGTGCTGACGGGCGAAGGGATCAGACCAGCGGCGGCCATTCTTCCCTCACTAGTCAGGAAGTTGAAGGTTGCACATGCGTTCGGCTGCAGAGATGAAAAAGAAAAGCAGAGACGTGGATTAGTCATTTAGTTCAAATGTGTTGTTGGTCAGACAGTCAGCAAGTCTTCCCGTCTTTGTCGTTCACGCTGTCAGTGGAGATACTTTACCGTGTCTTGAACCTCCACAGCGATGCCTTTTCTCTTCAGCAGAGCCAGGACTGAGGGGTTAATTCGTTCCACCCGTGCGCCTGTACCCAGCACAATAATTTCTGCATAAAAGACAACAAAAAAATGAATTTTTAGTTAAATACTCCATATAAACCCAGAGGAGTGACAAAATACAAGGAAAAACTTGAATAATTGTGTACAGATGTTTCCATATAGGACACAAGTGGTCACTGAAAGGTTTAATGAGAGTGAAGATTATGTGAATAATGTGTTTTGGCCTTCACAGTCACCAGATCTCAACACAATTTTACATATATGAACAACAGTGTTCTCCACCATCATCATCAAACACCAAATAATGAATATATTAAGGAAGCATGTTGATCATCACACTTCATGTTGGTTATATTTTAATTTATAACCCATCTGTACGTCAGTGTGCTTTTATTTTTCACCTATTCTCGGTTCAAGCATGTGGAAAAGAGAGACGCTTTCTTCTGTGATGTCTTTATGACTGCCGACCTGCAGAGAGCGTGAGAACAGTAAAACAAAGTTAATAGAAAGAAGCACATTACACGACAAACAGGAGCTTTGAAGGCAGTATGGATATTGATCTCACGTTCCACTGGAGGATAGCAGGAGGAAGCACAGCGCAGGGGCCAAACACTCTGTTGCCATCGATGTTGAATCCTTGAGAACTGTAACTTTGGATCATTATCCCCCCGCCCGGCTCCTTCTTCATGATGGACACCGTGGTACGCTGGTACATTTCATCGTCACTGGGACCCAGTCGATGGGCACGGGACAGGAATGGACTGAAACAGAAGACAGGTGAACAAAGTTAGAGCCAATATCACATTTTCTATTATTTATTGTGAATATTAATACTGCACTGAGTGCTTGTGGGCAGTTTCTCCATCTTCTCCATCTCTCAACATTTCACAAAGAAACAGAGCTCCCTGCTGAGCTGTTGCCATGTGACCCAGATTAAAAGCCAAATATCTAATGCCAACCTACTGACAGGGCGGACAGCCAAACGCTTCAGGGCTGTTTCTGCAAACAAACACAGGAAGCCAAGAAACAAACATTTCTGCTTGTCTAAGGAACTGCAGCAGGTTTCAGCTTGTGCTCACACTTTTTCTTACTGACTATTACAAAAACAAATGTGAGCAATCTTAGTGAACTGCTGTCTGGCCGGCAGGTTTTTAAAGCAGCAGAGGACTCATGAGGTGACCTGATCTGACTCCACCAGATGAAGCCAGAGATGCTGTCTGATGGGTAAACAAGCTTAAAGCCGGTTCCTAATGAGAATCCTGGAGTTATAATGGAGGAGTACACTCACAATGTCTGTTCACTGTCGCTGAGCTATGTCATCAGGCACAAAGCTCCCATCCCATTTACATGTACAGATCTCAGAGTGATATATATCTGCAGAACTATTGGCTACATCGCAAGGAAACCATATAAGTGTCTTCACAAAAGAAATTAGTAATCATCGATCACAAAACAATATGATAAACAGTCAATCACAGCCCCAAAGATAAAGAAAAAACAACAGAAATAACTAAATAATACTTCTTGTTACATTTTTGTCATTTTATTATATATGTACATATATATATAT